TCTTATCGGTTCTTACCGGTTCCGGTTTCGGTTCCCAACGGTTCTTATCGGTTCCGGTTCCGGTTCCAATCGGTTCCATCGGTTCCAAGGAACCGGAACCGAAAAAAACCGGAACCGTGCATCCCTAATTTTGCATGAATAAAATCATAATTAAATAAATCATCTTCACGTTGTGAATATATTAATTGAAATAGTAATTCACATAGTTTATGTAAAATTATAACGAATTGTTGAAGAATTAACATTTGCTGTTGTATTATTTGTTGTAAATATAAGTGGTTTGAACCAAGATTTTACGATCAGCTTCAGCAACAGTTGATGTTAAATTTAAATATAGATTTTTGATTATCAAAAAATTATAATGATTTTTGACGATCTTCCCCTATACTCAAAAATTAATCAGGCATTTTTGAGAATGAAATTTTCGATGTTTTTCACGATTTGCCAAATAACATCTATGAGACTAAGAAAAAATAGAATTAGGTCATTTTTTTCTTATTAAAAAAAAAAACAAATTTATATCTTCTACAAATTGTCAATGACACCAAGTAACAACCGAAACACCTTCCACTTCATGTTCAACTAAATAATTCAATAAATCATTTCATATACGTGCCTGTAATAAAGGTTCTATATGTCGAATAAGTAGTCAATGATATTGGATAAAATAACATTTAAAACAAATTTCATCGACTGATATTAAATTTTCTAATTCCACTTCATTTAAAACTGATCTTGATGATGTTATATATGATAAAGCATGTTCAAATAAAATATATCCATGTTGATTTTCAATTCGAACTAATAATTTATTAATAGATGTTGATACAGTTTTAGCTAAATCTTTTTTTCTTACATTTTTATATAAGATTTCCATAATGCAATTTCATTAAACACTAATTTAACATATAATAGAGTATTAGATTTAGCAAGACGTTCATGTACTAATGTCCTATTAATTAAACTTAGTTATTTCAAAATTAAGAATAAAAATAATTTTCAAACCAGTATGTATTTGTTATTGTTCGATGTTGATGAGCTAAACAAACTTTTAATACAGTTGTAGCTAATTCTTTACTTAACGGTTTTATCTAAATTTAAAAAAATAAAAATTAATTAAAAGAATAAATTGAAAAAAAAAACAATATACTTGAACAATATTTTCTCGATTATCAATTATATATCGAAGTGTATTTAAAATATTAAATATTCCAGATAATGGTGAAATAACCTAAACAATATATCTTTAATTAAAAATTTCATTAAAAAATTGTTTTTTTTCTTACAAGTTTAACATGACTTCGAATGTACACCATCAACTGATGATAATTGATCTAATGAATCAAAATAACATATATAATGGTTTACAGCTGTTGTTCTTTCTAATAAATGTTTAAAATAATTAATTGTTATGATTCAACTGGTATTGCATTCCTTAGTATTTCATATAAATAATAACATAATTGTTGACAAGCAGCACTATGTAATAATGGTCCAAGTGATGAATTATATGATGTTGTAGCAAGAAAACAAACAAGACAAGAGTGAGAAGAAAAGAAAAATAAAAAGACAAGAAAAGAAAGAAAATTACAATAGAAATATGTAACAAAGATGAACTATGCTATAACAAAAATACAAAAAAAAAAACAAACAACTGTTTATTTACTTTTCTTTCTGTAATTTTTTAATCAGTTCTGTTGCATATATTGTGAATAAGTTTTCAAGTAGAACATGATCTTTTTCATTATAATATTGAATAATATTTTGTTTTTTACAATACATTTCAAATGAGTGTTCAGCACGAGGTGTTGATTTAATATAAGCATCTATCATATCATGTTCTCGTTCATTTCGTACTGATACCATAGATAAATAACGAACTAATTGATGTTTATTTCCAAATCCATATTTTGAACATACTTTATCAAATATTGATAACATTAAATCAATTTGTTTATCATGTAAACTAAGAATTTCTTTAATTTCTTTATGTTCAGGATCATCAAGTAAACTGTCAAATGTTGTTGTATCAAAATTTTCTGATATATATTCTATTTTCAATTTTTCTCTAAATTCTTTTTTAATCGATCGAACAGTACATCTCATTAATTCACTAACACAGGACATGTATTTGTATGACATTAATTCGAGATATGATTTTTCTACAGCTGAAACAGATGATTTTAAATCAATATTTGATTTTTCTAAAGCTGAAACAGATGATTTTAAAACAATATTTGATTTTTCTAAAGCTGAAACAGATGATTTTAAATCAGAATTTGATGATGTTAATTCAAGATTTGATTTTTCTAAAGCTGAAACAGATGATTTTAAATCAGAATTTGATGATTTTAAATCAATATGTGATGATGTTAATTCAATATTTGATTTTTCTAAAGCTGAAACAGATGATTTTAAATCAGAATTTGATGATGTTAATTCGAGATTTGATTTTTCTAGATGTGTAACAGATAATTCTAATTTAATAATTACATCTTCCCAATGTGAAAATAATAACTTTAAATTATTAACAATTGTATTAAGTTTCAGTTTATCATCTTTTCTGATTGGAAGACCATCAATAATGTTATGTAAATTCTCAAGAACGATATTTGCATTCATATTTTCATTGAGATGTACGAAATCGATATTTTTTTTAGATTCGAAATTTTGTGATGGAACATATTCTAATGAATGAATTAATTGATTGAAATAATTTTTTACTTTGTTGGTATCTTTTGGTAATAATATATTGTCTCTCATTGTAATTAATAATGCTAAAAATCTCGTTTTAACTAGAATAAAAAAAAAAAAAACATCTCAAATTACAAATGAAAGCTAAATAAAGAGAATAAAACATACCATCATATTTTTTAGTATCATTAATGTTGGACAAAACACTTGAATCATACCGAGGAAATGTTAATGAAAATGAATGTTGTTGTACTCTTATAATATTTATTAATTTTGATAATGATGATATAAGTGATCGAGCCATGACTATAATAGAATAATAAATAGACGACTAGTATCATTAACAAAAACATAAAGTTCGTTAATTTTTACCTTTGTAAATCAGATACAAAAATATCTATATTATTGTCGACAGCTACAACGAACAATTAATGAAACTTATTCTTTTTTTGTTTTATTTTATCGTTGGTCAATTATCTAGAACACAACAACCATTGAGAATTCAGCGCTAATAATATATTTATTTTTTTCTATAAAATGTGTTCGTTCATCAATATTAGTAAAAAAAAACCAAAGATTGGGTTGTTATTTAAATTCAGTCATAATTAAACATTCATAATTGCATGACAAACTGAAATCTTATTAAGTGAACAGTATCGTTAATAAAAAAAAAAAAAAAAAATTAGAGTAGTCTGATCTTGGTGGCATCTGCATTGATTGAAAGCAAACATGCATCATAATTAATCATTATTTTCGAAATAAAATTATACTATTTCATTTAAAATACAATTTAAAATAAATAAATTTCATGTAAAAAAAATATTATATTTACATAAATTTGTTTTATCGTTTATTTTCTTTTCCTAAGGTCGACTATTTCGATCACATTCAAGTTGACATTCACGAACCAGTACACGAGCTGAAGCAATAGCACGTCTTAAACGTTCAGCTGAATTTTTATTTCCTGCATATGTTGGTTTAATATCTTTGCCCATTTCTTCAATAACATTAAGTAATTGAACATATTTTGATTGATGTATAACACGTTGTTGATGTTGTTGAACTTGATTTAATTGTTGTTGAACAGCAGGAGTTACAGGAACATATTGATGAGATTGTTGTTTAATTTGTTGTTGAGAAATTGAATTATGCGAAGGAACAGTAGGTGTTGTAGGAGGAGGAGGAGGTAAATGAGGAGAATTTCGACCAGATGAACCTTGTAACATACTAGTTGGTGCTGCTGGATTTAAAATAGGTCGTGATGGAGGAGCTGGTGATGGCTGTTGTTGTTGTTGTTGTTTACGAACTGTTAAATCCATTCGTTTTTCTTTTTTTTGTATTAAGCCAAAGAAAAGAAAAATTAATCTAAAAATAAAAGATCAATATACCAAAAGAAAAAAAAAATATATATATATATACACACATATAAATGAGAATTAAATTTTTTTTTAATAGTTAAATATTAAAGATCGATTTAAGGTATAAAAAAAAACATATGATGTTGAAGATACAGGACGAATTGGTGGTAAACGAATAGGAACAGGTAATTGATATTGTGGTAAAATAATTGATGGACTATCTAATTCCAATATTTGAAGTTGACAAAGTAAATTTAATAATAATTCCATTTCTTCTTGAGCATAAAAACTATTCATCTATATTAAATAGAGAAACAAAAAAAAAGAAAACAAAGAAATAAATAAAATGCTAGAGTTATTTTTAATTTTACTTCTTTATGTAAAAGAATATTAAATCCATCACTCCAACATGACATATCATAATCATTTTCACATAATAATGTATATGTTGTATCATTTTGAAGAATGATTGTTACAGTCATATGTGCATTACTCTATTAAAAGAATAAATAATTACTTTAAATTTTGAAAAAAAAAACGCTAGATATTTACATGACGAGAAATTTTTGGAACTCATTCTTGTGTATTTAAATTACCGGAACGTAATTGATCAATATTACATTGAAAATCTTTGATATTTTCAAGTGAAACTAAATAAAATTTCTTGTAAAATTATTCAATATGAATTTAATATTTATATTAACAATAAATATTAAGATTTTTCTAGTAGAATTAATTAGTTTTAGTCTATCGACTGAAATATTTAGCTTCCACTGAGCATTAGAGTGATCACTTGTAGATCAATTACAAAAAACTAAATGATAATTAGAATTTCAAAACTTCCAAAATATGTTTTGTAGTTAATTTTATGAGCTATTGATTAATAAATAAAAGATATTTCGTTTCATTACTTCGTCTTTGAAATATCAAACTTATAAAATCGATAATTTTGAAAAAATGAATTTTTTTTTCTTTAAATTCACGTAGTGGAGATCTTTGAATTTTGTTTTGTCATATAACTTAATGAAGAAGCCTACAAGTGATTACTATTAGTTTCAACACTTCCACAATAGTTTGATGAATTACAAAATGAATTATGCTGTCACTGTTGAATAGACAGAGAACAATTAAGAATAAAGCTAGTACATCTATTTTAAACCTCATTATATGAGACTTTCAAATAATATTTGATACGAATAAAATGTCTTCGATGGTAATGCAATACCTCAAAGAAAAATAGGTCATTATTTAATAACGTGTCGAACATATATGTACCATGTCAAAATTAGTTTTTATATATATTTAATCTTTCAGAAAAATAATCAAATGTAAATCGTTGTAAAATAACTGATGTTAATGATGTATTCATTGGTGATTTAATTACTGATGATAATAATGTTTGACTTTTTGGAGATGAATATGGTGATATTATTGTTTTATTTATTATTGTTGTTGATGAATTTATTAAAGAAATATCATCAAGTGATTGTGAAATTTGTTGATATACAACTGAACTAACCTAATATATAAAAAAAAACAAATAGAATATATTTATTTATTTTAAATAATAAAATTCATATATTATACCACTTGAAAATCAACATCACAAGCACGCATTTCTTTTCATGTTTTATTAAATAAAAGTAGACAACGAACAAATGCTTGTTCAAAAAAAGATGATATTGTATAGAAGAGTAAAAAATAATCTTTATGTATTTGATGTCGATTTGCTAAAGAATGTTTTTTTCTCATTTTTTAATATTTAAATGAAAATATTTACGTTCAACACCAATATAAAAAAGTTTACAAAGTATTCGTGTAATTTCAATAGCTGATTTAACTAATGGACATTGTTGTTGAAGTGTTTTACATGAATTTTCAAGAACAAACTAAACATAAATTATCGATTAAAATAAAAATATTTAAATTTAACATACTCGAATAAAATCATTCTTTTGATGAATACAAAAATAGAATAAATTTTGTAATGATAAAATACCTGATGGAATTACTTGAAAATCTCTTATTGGTTCTCGAAGATCCTTAAAAAAAAAAAACAAATGAATTTTGTTCAAATTTATAAAATTCTTTTTTTTAAAGGTTTTAACTTGAAATCCAAGTCGTTCATAATCACGTTGTAATGCTTCAACTCGACGAGGATTTATTGTTGATATTGTTTCATTTATATTTCCTGGTGATACTCGATTACTTAAATCTTGACAACTTTGATCAGATAATAATAAATCTGTATCAAATGCACTTCGTCGTAATTTCAAAATCATATCACGATATTTCTATATATAAAGTGAAAACAAAATAATTTTCAAATAAATTTTGATATTCAAACCATATCGAATCGATCGGGTGATGCATTCATTGAACTTGTATATAATTCATTTAAATAAAATCTTTGTAAAAGACATAATTGTTGAATCAATGATGAACGAGTAACATGCTATAAAGAAAAATATTATTTATTTCAAAAATTTAAGAAAACTAAAATTTTATATTTTGAGAACTTTTACATCTGTTAACTTGTAATAGAGGATACATTTTAGAAAAACACATTAATTCACTAATTATATACTGTACGTTTCCATAAATAGCATAATACTATCATCGATAGATTCGCAACAATTTAATTGCAATACAATGTTGTGGAGGGTAGGTACTCGTTTAAAGCTAGACTGTGTACAGTGGAGTCGAGCATCGGACTTCGAAACTCGACGAACAATAATGCACTACTTTATAGATTCATAAGTTTCAAGAAAAAAAAAAGAACATCAGAGGACTCTAGTGCACAGTGAACATTCTTCGTGAAACAGAAATAAAGAGAACTGTCCAGTAGTTATATTTCTGTCAATAAGACTAGAAAGTTTAGTGAATAAATACGAACTCGTATTGATTGTATTGAGGTATCCATAGATGTATAGGAATCATTATTCGAATGTTCATCCTTTAACAAATATAATTATCATAAAAAAAAAGAAAAATTTATAGAAAATATAAATCTATATAGAAGTAATTATTAATTGTACAAGTTCACGAAGACTTGTTGAAACAATTGTATTTGACATAGCTTTCACTAATGACTAAAATAAAAAAATTATTTTTGTAAAATTTTTATAAAGAAAAAAATTTACGTACAGAACGAAATATTTTATCACTTTTATTCATAATCACATTAATTAATGACAATGCATAATATTGTGTTGCAGTATCATGTTGTCTAAAAAACAAAAAATATTGAAAATTTCTTTTAGAACAAAAAAGAAAAAGTATATCTACTTGTTACAATAATCAAATAAATGTGATATTTCAAGTGTTTGAATAATTTTTGATGAATATTTTGATTCAATATTAATAATTGAATGAAGAATCATCATTGCTGATGATGAATGTACACAAGGAATTTTTGATGCATTAATACCAAATATTAACTAGATAATAAATTGAAATAAATTATTTGAATTTTATACAGTTTTTTGTTTGTTTTTACTTGATCAATAATTGTATCAATAGATTCAAGATTATCTCAATGAATAGCTTGTTGATTTATCATTATATTATGAAGTGAACGAAGTAAATGTGGTGTAAAATTTTCATAACTAAATTTTAATAAAAAAAAAATATCTATTAAGAATAATAATAAAGAAAGAATTAAATAAACTAACTTATTTAATTTTCCATCATGAGTAAATAATTTTAACAAATATTGAAGACCATTTTGTTGAACAAATTCAAGTGCAAATGTTTCATCTTCACCAGCTAATTTTAATCGTTCAAGTACAGTTAAATTATATCGTTGATAATCATTTGATGAAAGATATTTTAATATATCTTGAATTTCATCTTCCTTTTGTTTTTTAAATAGAATAAAAAAGATTCAATAGAAACAAAAAGATAATAATTTATTTACATGTGAAAGTGAAAGATAAAAAACTTGACAAGTAGGAATTTGATAACAAATCTAAAAAAAAACAAATTTTCTAATAATTAAAAGGATACAAAAAAAAAAAACTCAGCACAAAGCATTATTTTACTTGTTCAGTAACAAATTTATGAGTATCATCATATCGAAGTGCATAATGAATTGAATTTGATAAAAGAATTTTCCAACTATGAAAATAAAAATCAATTGATAAAAAAAAAGATTATTTAACTTACTCATCACATATTTTTGAAATATAATCATTCAATGGAATGTTCTTCGAGAGATCAAAAGAAAGAAAAAGAAAATAGAAATTTTTCAAAAATATTTAACAAAAGATACAAACTGGATCAAGTTCGATAAGTTTCGGATGACGAGGACTGGTCGAAGGTGGTATATCAATTAATAAAGAATTTTTCCAATGTACACCAATTTTTATTTTATTGTTCGATGCTCTTGTCATTGATTTTTTTTTTCTTCTCTCTTGTTTTAATTAAATGGTTGATTGTTACGAAAGAAGAAGTTATAATAGTTCGATGTGATAACGAAGGAATTCAATAAGACAAGAGTACGTACGTACAAACAGAACGAGTCCATGATCTATCTATCTATTGATTTATATTTTTTTTTTTTTTAATGTCCAATCATCGGACATTATCGGTAGTTGTCGTTAATAACATGCGATAGAAATTTTCAAAAATATCGAATGAATTTTAATGTTTTGTGTTGGATAGAATAAACTCAGAACATAAAGATAAAAGTTTTATGTAAACGAACATCATTCTCTAAATTAAATAGTCAACATTTTAACACAAATATGTAACAAAATATTATATTGTTAATGAATACAAATTGTACGAACAACAAGAATAAATGAATAATTTATTTTTCATGATGACTGTTTATTTAGAAAGTAGTTTGATTAAATCAATGAAAATAATTATAGAATATAAATAGTTATTGATTTGTGGTTTTGACAATTGAATAATTATGCTCAAAATAATTAAAATCTTAGGAGAATTCTTTTTTTGAAGGAATTTCATAACCTTCAAATTTTGATGCTAATGAAATAATACTGTCGGTACAATCAAAACTAGATCTTTTTGCAGAATGAACTCATTAAAATCTTTTCTATTGCACAAACTGTGCTGATTTCTTCCAAAAAAATATCTGTTAGATAACAAGTATTATTGATTATATTTTATTTACCCTCTAGATTCATTATGATTTTTTCATCGCATATATTAATATTTTAGGTGAATCATAGCGCATGTCCGCATTGTACTTATTTTGTTTGAATAGTCAATATTTATAGAGTAATTTCGTTTTCTTAGATTTAAAATATATTAATCGAATGAATCAATCTTATTCAGATGTTGATTATTTTTCAATGACGCCTGAAACGTTATATCAATCTATTAATCATGACAAAACATTGAAAAATCTAAGGAGACAAAAACAAAATTCAATTAATTCTTTTTCTTCTATTTGATATTTTTCTATTTGAAAGATTTATCATGTGATTCTTGTTTTAATTCATCGGAAATAGTGCAAATAACAGTACTGAAACCGCAAGTATTTGAAATTCCACTAATCGATTGTTGTAAAGAGCAACGAATACCGAATTATAAAGCTGTTGATCATCAACGAACGAAAGCTCTTTGAGAAGTTACTGAACAACGTACATAAGAAAGGTTTATTTATTTGTTCTTAATATAACTCAACATTCCTTTTTTTCCTATTTAGATTAGTTAAATAATTTTTCACATTGAACTCAACAATTCTATGACATTACTGGAATATTATTATTTTATTTTATATACGAGTTTTCTCTTATTCATAGATATTGTTGTGTGTTTTATTGTTAAAAATAAATCAATTTTATCGATCAATTAAAAAATATCTTTATCAGAATCAAATAAAAATAAAATAACGAAGAAAAAGTTCCGAAACAAAAATAGTAGCTATTCGATATTGAATTAATGGACAGAAATTATTATTGAAATTATGAGTCGTATATATTTGTAAGATATAAATAATTATATCGAAACGGAATTTTTTTTGCCTCGATATTTGATAACTGATGGACGGTAGAATCAGTGGTGTTTTTATTTCATAAATTGAAGCAATTTCCAAAACAAAAATTTTTCTTTAAAAAAAATTGTATAAAATAGGTATAACGTTAGATTTTGAAAAACTTATATTACATTATTTGTTTTTTTTTCGAACAATTGATCGCTTATTTTTTTTTTTGTCCAATAGGGAGAAAAAATAATCATACATTTCTTTTCTCATAATTTCAATCAAATAAATTTAAAAAATTGTTTTTTACAATGAACCCTATCAATCTCAATATTATCTATCAAAAAGTACAGTATCAGTTCAACATGGGTCTACGACAATTGGTCGAAAGACAATTAGTCGCAGTATAGAATTGGTCGCAATGGTGAAAACTAAAATTATGAAAAAAGTTTTATTAGTATTACAGTGAAATAACTCAGAGAGATCCAGAAAATAACTAAAAATTTATTCAAGGAAAAGGAACATTAAACATGAGTATAAATATGAATGTTTAGTAAACTCTTTTAATTGTGCATGAAGTGTTACAGGAGAGCAAGTAGCAGTTGCTTGAAAAATTTTGCATGATCAATTTAATTTTTCCTTAGTTTGAGGCTTCTATCTGCTGTAGTTTTCGCTATTCTCCAGTGAATATAGCTTTCATCTTTTCGTAATATTTCGATAAATCCAAAAAATGAATGTCAATATGCAGCCACCGTTTATCAGCGAGATCATCTACTTATTCATTCCATGGAGCGAACCTTCATTTTTTACGTGCCGCCCTCATCCTCATGCTGTGCTGTGTGTGTGTGTGATTAAATCACACGTGTGTAAATTGAGGTTTGTAGGTAGTGAAAAAGAACCACGCTTCTGTCAAACGTACGACCAATTTTACACTGCGACTAACTGTCGCTGCGACCAATTGTCGCTTTCCCGTTCAACATCTTATTATTTTGGATAATAGAAAAAGTGAAAATAAGAATATATCAACACCAATGATTAATGTATAATAAACGTTTGGTTTATCTTTAATAAAAATTTCTCCATATATAAACAAACATATAATAGTAAATAAGTTTGATGTATTAAAAAAGTTTAGATGGTTCTTTAAAAATGATCACAATACATATTGTATTGAAAAGACAAATGACAATTAACAGATATTGTAATGGATATAAAGTATCATCGTATAATTTTTTAACGTGTCTATTATCTTCCAAAACATAATTTATAATGTAATCAAAATCTAAATAGTTAAGGGAAGACCAACATTTTTTACAATTTATATCATTGTTGCCAGTATCATCTCTTAATTCTCTTAAAGCTTGTTGATATCTATTTATTTCTTCTCTTTCAATTTGTAATTGTTCGTGTAAATATTCATATTTTGAATGAATGTCTATCATCATAGGGTAAAACATCAAAAATACTTGATAATAAATAATAATCAAGATAAAACCGATGAATAATATCATATTATAATTTTGATTTATTATATGATCCCAAGGTTGTGGTTTCTACAAACAGAAACAACAATTACTGGCATTTCTTTCCTTTTACATTAAGAAAATTAAAAAAAAAGTTTATTGTCTTCTGTATATGTATAATACTTACTATTGTACCGAAATATTTTTTCTTTATTTTCTCATCTAAAACAATAATAGCATAATTTCATCATTTGAATTTGAAATAATTACCTGTTATTTTACCAGAATCAATTACAATCGATGTATTTGATTATAAAGCGTCGGAGTTAATGGACATTATAATAATGAAAATTAATCTGAAATACATGATCACAATAAAAAAATACAGAATTGATAAGAAAATGCGAATTTTCCTAAATCGAAACTTCTTTCATTTCACTTTTTCATATCTTTTGTTATACTAAAACAAAATGAAAAAAAAAACAAGACAATAATAATAAACATTAATTTTTAGTCTTTTTTGTCATGTCGATGATTGAAATATACGTAGATTTTATCATTATAAAAAATAGACATGATCGTGACAAAGAATTCCAAATAGATTATGTTGATGCCATTCATATATATATATATTGACAAACCCATCAATATAGAGTTTTTTAACGATATAATTCTGATTTATCTTGAATTACTAAAAAGAATATATAGAGGATAATTAAATTTAGTATTGATAAAACAGTTGAATGATGTTTCAAGATATTTTAATATACAAGATCTTATTCTTCAACTGCATCCTTAGTTTATGCTAGATCCTGATCTAACTGTAGTTATGAAAAAAAGGTTATAAGGGGATCATGTACAGATCTTAAGACAAAAAAGTGTATGTTGTTTGAAAATAATTTTATCTGTTATTATTTTCTGTTGACACTCACTTTGTATTCTTACCTGATATTTAAAGTAAGCCATTTCTGTATCAAGTTCAATTGTATATTATTATTATTGATGTAATTGTAATATTAATTCAATTACACGGTCTTCAGCACGTTTAATAATATCAGTAATATGTGAATTATTAATATAGAGATAATATTGAGCTAATGTTCGTTGTGGTGATGATAATGACGATAATGATTTCAAAAGTATTTCATCGATATTTAATCAATGACAATAAAATGAAATTCTGTGTTTATTTCACAGAAATATTCTTGTTTTAATAAATAAGAAAAAAACAAATGAATAAATTTGTTGCCTAGTTGGTGTTTGAACGAGAGATTGAAAATTATTTTTCTTGTAATTCGAAGATTTTATCTTTTTGATAAGATTCTTTTTTTTAAATAAATGTAATCAATAAAAATATTGAGTATTTAGAAAATGTACATTAGTATTTTCATTTTCTAATTTTTCTTCATTGATTTTAAATTCTATTTAAAGAAAAAACAAAATAATAATAAAATAAAAAGAAAAAAAAAGAGAAAATATTTAATGAGGATCTTTAATGTTATGATCAAGTTGTTTATGACATTTTTAAATAACTTTAAATGAAATTTATTATTTCTTTTAATTAGTCGAATAATATCATTTGATATGAATCAGTGGATGAAAGACTTGTTGATTGATTTGCATTTGTAGAAGATAATGATGAATTCTTATTGAAAGCAAATAATTTTCAATCATTGGTAACAATTCAATATTTCATAGGCATTTAAAACGAGAATTATAGAGACGTTTTCTCGATGTCATATAGTTTTATTGAAATAATGAATCCATAATTCATCAAACCTCTTTCTATTCTTTCCTAATTTTCTACTAATAATCAATTCAGATAAATTTAATTTTAACTCATCTAAATAATAAAAAAAACGAGGAGATCGTTGACGTTTATTAAAATTGATTTTTCTTTGTTTTTGTTCTCGTTTATATTGTTCTATAGCTTTAATAACCCCGAAAATGAATGTGTTGCAGCATTGTATAAATCATTTCGAACACGACAGTTATGTCTTTTTCTTAAATTTTGGAAAAATACATTAAAACAAGGGTTTTAAAATTACGTTAAACGATCTTAAATTCATCATAGTCATGAATATTTGATTATATATTGAAACGAAACCGATGCACATTGTTGGTAGCATCAAGAAAATCCTAATTTTGAAATAGGAACCGGAAGTTCTTTTCTCAATTGATGGTAAACTTCACTCTTACAAATTAATATATATTTTAAAGGTGGATGGCAGCGAAGGAAATGTTCATATTGTAATTTTCTGATTGATAGAATATATTTAAAATTATTGATATAAGCTTTTATCTATATGGAATAAGATAGTTTACATGTATTATATGTCAAATCAAAGTCAGAGAAACACTAGATTTTTTATTTGATGAAATTAATAATTTAACAATGAATTTACCTTTCTCTTAACTTAGAGTTCTATATACAGTTATGTTGAATATTCAATATTAACAAAAATACAAGTTCTACTTGTCAATTATTAAAACATATATAAACTTAAATTAACTTGTAATGGTAATTTATTATTACTTTGAATTGATGTTAGTATAGTATCATATGAAAGTTGTCCATAGGATAATCTGCTAATAAAAATGAAATAGATTTATTCCGACATCGATGTTTTCAAGCGAAGTGCATTTAATAAAAATGTTGTTACACCACAAATCCATACACTAAGCAGAGACAAAAAAAAAACAGATAATATCTAGTTTTTTTTATCGTGTTACCATTGTGTTGCATTTGTTTCTAAAGTTTCTTCTTTTTTTTAAAATTATTTGTTGTTTGTTTATTTTCATCATTAGATTGATTTATGATGGATTAATTGAAGCAAAAACTGACGCCTATATTTTTTGAAATTGTACTCTTAATAATCAACCAACTCCAAAATTGTCTTTATATAAATATTGGTAAACAAATTAATAATATAGCTATACAACGTAAATCATGTCAATAAATATATGATATATATTTAATTTTTCTTGTTAAATAATAAAAGTAATAATTGTATAAATGATCTATTATCTGGTTCAATTAAATTTAAATATGATTATAATGATTGATTTGTTTATTTGATACAGTTAAACCATGTCGTTGATAAAGATATTCAAATATTGATAATAGTGTTTTCGATAACGTACAACATGATATTATTTGATCTGTTTCACTACTAAGAAATGATGTTTTTTTTTGAAGTATATTTATATAAATTATTTCTGATATAAATATTATAAAACGTAATATATCACATATATCACCTGTTGAAAATTGACATGTTAATTCAACATGATTTTGTATTTTATCAAAATATATTGATATAGAATCTATGAATGCAATTGAATATGGTTGATTATTAGAGCATGATAAAAGACTTTTTTCATAAATTGTATTAGATGTTGTTTCAACATCATTTTTAATTTGTTTCATTTGATATTAATCGTTATGTTGATAGAATACTAAGGATAAGACAATGAGATATTTAATAACTATACGAAGTCCTAGAAAGACAAAAAAAGAACAGATTTATATTATTTCTTATTTTCTCAAATCAATTTTCATTTACTATAAGAATCATCCTAAAAATGTTACGCTATGGAAAAAACCCAATACGTTTTCGGAGTTCAGGAATTCAAACCTATAGAAAATTTGTCAAAATTCTCGAATGCAATTTATTTCGAAATATTATCTTCGGTTGCAAATAAATAACACAATCGAAAACATCTTACGAAATATAATATTAGAAAGACGTCGTTTTCTTTAATTGTAACAGTACAAATGGCACGACGCAGAATTGTACTAATGTAGCTTAAATGCTTTCCTTTACGATTTGTATTACCTGAAATTCTGCATATTTTGTTTCTTATCTATATCGTTAAAACTCGTTCTTCTTGATATGTAAGTACAGTAGATCGACTAGTTTTCTATTTCAAAATATTTTTCGAAATTTTGAATTATTCAAAAGTCTCATCTATTACTAGCACATAAACAATGTCAAATTAAAAAAAAAAAATTTTTTTTCCTCTAATTGGATTAAAATTTTCATTATAGATATGTATATATTTATTTCGATAAATTAAACTAAAACATACCGGTGACATCATAAATGGTAATCATGTTTTATAAGTTACATTTTTAAGCATTTGTTTATAAATTTTTCTTATTATATCCATAGGACAATTAAGATTATTAAAATCTTTAATAATATCGATTGATATTGTTATTGATAATATTTATAAAATTCATGGTAAATATTTAGGTAATAATTGTTTATCTAATATTTGTTGGTCAAGTGTTAACATCGTTTTAATACGATTATAAACAATTAATTCAGCTAAATGTCATACAGATATATATATATATATATATAGTAATGGAAGAAATTGTTCAACTAATAAAACTAATACAAGACCACTTTCATATAAATGTATTCCTTCACAAACGAATAAATGACTTGCAACTGATGTATGATGTATAAGACCAAATAAATTATGTACATATGTACATGTATCACTTTGTTCAAATAAAAAATAATAATAATAATAATAATTGATAATGTGTTGTTATTGATGTTAAATGTTCAACATATAATTCATGATGACATATTAAATCACAATAAGATTGTAATTGACCACTTATAGATAAATGTATTCTTGAGGATGATGGTGTTAATATCGGTGATTACCATGCTTCTTATGTATAATCAAGTATATTCAGAATATGTGTCCATTGTAATAGTAATGAGATATAAAATGATGATCATAATAATTTAAAAACATTCACTTACAATAGTTAAATATGAAAATGTATCAAGACGATGTACAGTTTCATCATGAATTCATAACTGACGAAAATCATTTACAATTGTTCGAAATTGTTTAGCCAAAATAAAATTATAGATCTTATAAAAACATAGGGATTTTAAAGTCAAATGTATTTCGCTAGCTCAGTAGTAATTAATGAATTGCAGGAATGTTTTATCTTCAAATTAATGGGTGATATGTTAGTATCATATAGATTACGATGAAAGCTTAAGCTCTTTTGACTTTGATAGAAACCAGTTTTTATCTATTCAGTTAGTTTCTTCTTCCTAAAGTTTCAAGCCGAAATTTTTAAATAAAGCATCCCAGTTTTCGTTACAAAGATGACGACTTCAACTAAAAATGATGTTCCTATTGCTGGACTATCATATTCATGTCTAGAAATACACTATTATTTTGATTCATTACCATTTTCTATAATATACATAAGTACATAAAGATAATCATTCGTAATATTATGTCATGTAAAATTCGAAGAAGAGTTCTGAAAACAAAAACAAGAATAATAGTTGTTAAATTATAAATAAAATCATTTTGAATACTTACTCACTAAAAGTTTCATCTCGTGTTCCATTAATTAATGAGAAAACATCATTCTATCGTGTTAATATAGCATCTTCAGTTAAATTTTGTACAAGACATCGAAGTATTATATTTATATTGATTAACTATCGATTTGTAGATTGACAATTGACACGCTGAAAAATTTTATAAATAAAAACAACGAACATTTCTATTTACTAATGCTCGAAAAGTAATAACAAATAGATCAATTAGTCGCAATTCACCTGATGAGACAACATCAAATAGTGTTAATTGTATGGAATAAATATCCAAAAGTGATTAATCCTATTTGAACAAAAAAAAAGTAACGTAAAATCAGAAACTATTAAAAGAAAAATAACCTGAGATAAACCAATAGTAGCATGTGATTGTAAATGAACAAGAAGTACATCGACAATTTGCCTTGAAAGACGTTTCCATTTATCATCTTCATTTCGAACACTATCAACAATAACTGTTAACAATCGTAAAACCTATAACAGTATAAATTCTATTATTATTTTTTTCAGTACATACACATGACATGAAGAGATACTTGTATTTATAATAATTAAGACGTCTAGTTTTCCTTCAAACTTTTTATTGCCGTATCTTTTATCAAATACATAACTGAAGATTACTGTCTCTAAATCTTGTTGAGTCCTGGACATCAACAAGATGATTATTTTCAGATCATTGATTCGTTGAAGTGTGGATGTGGATGCAATCGAGGAGAAAAATTATACCTACACACTCAGACCCTCTCGAGTTTCTAAGATATTTGAGACTTTATAGAAGGGCACCTTTTGTTCACTCTCATTTAATAAAACGTTTTAGGAATTTTAATTATTCACATAACTCGAATAAGAAAAAGATCATATAAAACTGATTCTAATGCTGCCAAAGCTAAATAAAGAATTTTAACGATAATTTATTTTTCTCAAAAATGTTTTTTTTTGCTTCCTACCATGTGTTTCAGCTTCATGTCCACTTGCTAATAATGAATCATAATGTTTTATTAAATCTTGTACTTTAATAACTTGTTTTAAATGAAGTGTATCATGTGATAACATAACAAGAAATTCAGCAATACAATAAATAAAATGTGATAATATATCATAATCTGCTATAGTTTCTTCAATCATTTCAAGTTCATAGATTATATGAATAAGAAAATGATAAACGAAATAATTAGAAATACAACGAACTTCATCAGCATCTAATCAACTATAATTAACACGAATTAAAAGTAATTGAACGAGTAAATCGAGTACAACAGTTTGAAAATCACTTTCATTTGTATTAATATATTTTTTAAGACTAATTTTTTAGTTCAATAAAAACTAAAATAGAAAACAAAAAAAAAACAGAATAGATCAAATTCATTTTTTTTTTTTGTTTATTTTACTCTCGTATTGCACTATTTTCTATGGATAGATCACGATTTATACTTGATGCATAACGTGAATCAAATAAAATAAATTATCTATTGTCGAATACTTATTGTATGAATATAAGTTAAAGAATTATTTAATGCTACTTGTGAAGAAACATTTGAAGATTTTCTTTCAGCCGACAATGATGAAACGATTGCTAGTTTATGAAGACTTAATAAAAACTAAATTAAAAGAATATTTTTAAATAAATGTTGTGGTAATAGAAAAAATGATTTTCAAATTTCGAATTGATAGTGTGTCTTACAGATCGCTCACGGAAACTAGATGATTTAATATTCGAATTTCAAGATAGAACCAAATCAAAAGATCTGACACTTTCACAACAAAACTACTCTCGTTAAGATCATTGATATTCGCAAAATCAATTTTTCTATTACTATGACATTCTTATATTGAAATTTTCCTTCTCAAGGAAAAATCTTTCCAGAAACCTTAATTATAAGATTTTCATCTAAAGTTTTATCCATAGATAAGTTTCAGACACAATACAACATCCTGAAGGTTTTAACTTAACCAATAAATAAAGAATACTAATAATTGAAATTTTCTTTATAATAAATATTTACTATTTAAAAGAAGTTACCTTTTATGTACATTGAATGTTGATTTAAAATAATTAAATGTTTCTTCCAATTTTTTTTTGATAAATATTGTGTAGAAATAAGACTTAAAACTGATTTTATAGACAATAATGATCATTTCTGATGAATTTAATAAACTCTTATGTATTTGATAAGATGAACGTATTAATTCGAATAATTTCATCATTGATGGATTATCGATTTAATGATTCAATGATAAAATCATTTATTTTAAATTTAACTATAGAAAATCGAATAAAAAAATAAAAAATATTTTAAATGAATTAAATTTGTTTGTATAAAATACTCTAATTGATTATTTTGAAATACTTTATCAATAAATCGAGTAAAACCTTCCAATTTTAAAGAAATTAATTAATTGATAAATGACATTAACCATTTAATTTTATCCATAAATAATTCACTTTCCTCAATTTCAAAAGGTTTTATTTCTTTCAAATAAATTAATTTTGATGAACAAATATGAAAATCGTTCATTGAAAAACTTTCAAAATTATCGATTGAAATTTATTTGATTTTTCAATAATTTGAATAAATTGATTTATATTTAAATTAAGTAAAGTTAAATGTTTTATTTGAGATGATTGTCGCCATTGAATATAATCTGCTTGATAAAATTTCATATCTAAACAAAACTTTTTAAAGAGTTTTTAATGATAAAATTTCATAAAGTACTATTATTGTTGATGAATTTAACATTCCAAAATACTGTCGATATTCAATATGAAGACAATTTAATGAATTTTTGGAAAAATCTTTTCAAATATTTCCTAAATCACTTTCATTAATTTGAATTAAATCTAAAGATTTTAATAGATTAAATTTATTTATTTGAAATATTTTTATAAAAGATTTTATTTGACCAAGAGTTTTATTATCATCATCAATTAATTTTAATTCAATTATATTTAATGGATTTATTGAACGATATATTAAATCAAATTTTTCTTGTAATATTAAATCAAAATTTTCTTTTATAATTATTTCGACATTTCAAAAATCTGTTACATGTATAACTAAATGATATTGTTGAATAAATATCAATTTTATCAAATATACGGGTATTACTTCACTTTAAATACATACCCATACAAATCGCATGATGGTGAGGACGAGAATGTGTCCAAATTAAAGTCGTATCTCAACAACTGATTATGTTCGATTCCGACAAAAAAAGAAGAGAATTCTATTTCCAAGAGCCAAATGTGTTTCCTAATTAGTACTATCTTCTAACTATAAAGTCCAGTGATGAATATAGTGTTCACGTCTAATCATTATTATTTAAGATTATCTGTACATTTGACTATCAAAAAGGGAAATTTTGGAAATTTTCATAACAACAATCATAATATCTGATTTTAAAGATCAGATCACAAAAGTATAAGCTCCTTATATTGACAACAACAGCTGAAAATATTTGGAGAACTTTTTGTTGCATAATTAATGTAAAAAATAATAATAATTAACCTGATATATATTGGGAATTGTGAGACAATTGGTGTCTTTATAATGATTGATTGTTCACAATTTGAACTTTTTTTTGTTTATGGAAGAGCCTATACAATCAACTAGAGATGGAAGCAATGTCACGCCATCTTTCTATTCTACTTTTCTATTGCTTGCTCGAGATGATCGAATGATATTTTTTCTTTCCCTCTCGATAGATAGAGACACGGTCTAGTCTTACATGTTATTTGTATATATTCCATTAACAAAAAGAAACTAACTTGTTTGTTTTAAAATTCGATTGGCTTTTGAACTTCTCTCTACACGTCCAACAAACAATTTACATTCATACTGATATTCAGTGTTTTTAATGAATGAGTGTACCCAGCAAAACAACGGGTACGGTACCCTAATAAAAATATATTTACACGCTGATGAAAAAAGTAGCATGTACGCGGTACACACTGAATTTTTATTTTACACTTTGATTTTTCTATTATCTCCATGCTTCTGCTGTATGTACAAAAATATAATTTATATATTGAACATCATGAAAATTTTCTTCACATAAAGGGTGAGCCAAAAGTATTGGTCGTTCTTAGAAAAATTGTTCGTTCTCCCTTATTACAAATCCAAAAACGCTCAAAATTGGGCATCTTATCCCTTTTAACTAGACGAATATTACCCTAAATTTTCAGATCTATAATCCTTATTATAGGGGAGATATATAGGTTTGTATGATAGAGAAGATTTTTTTTCATGTCCTAAAATCAGAATAGCGAGGGGTTACATAAACAGAATAAAAGAAAAAGTAAAAAGAAAGACATCAGAATAAGGAAATATTAAGAGAATTATAACGAATCGAATTATACCTTAAGATTAATGTCTATGGTATATTTATTTAAATATCTTTAACTCTGATTGAATGCTTATTCACATATGACCATTGTCCACCATTCATTTTCGACAAAACTGTTTCAACAATTTCTCATTTTACGATTGTTTAAATACTAATGTTGCGAAAATATATAAAAAATATTAGACAACAAATTTTAACTCCAGCGATGTTGAAAAACAAAATTATAGAGATTTGAAGAACAATCAATCGACAAATGTGCTCAAAATTGATGAATTCAATACTAAGAAAATTGCAATGTTTAATCAACAAAGAAGGTTACTCAGTCAACAAAAAAAAGATTGTAATGGTTTATGAAAATGTAAAACATTCTGTTGTTTGTTATTGTATTAATAGTGAAAATTAATTATTCTAGACATTTCTTTTGGATAAACTTTTTTTTTACTTTTTTGCGACATGAAAAAAAAAATCTTCTCTATCATACGAACCTATATATCACCCCTATAATAAGGACTATAGATCTGAAAATTTAGGGTAATATTCGTCTAGTTACAAGGGATAAGATGTCCAATTTTGAGCGTTTTTGGATTTGTAATAAGGGAGAACGAACAATTTCTCTAAGAACGACCAAGACTTTTGGCTCACCCTTTAGACTCGGTTTAATTTGAAATAAGACAATAATTAACATGTTGTAATGATTTGTATTGAAACGTGCCGTTGTTCATTCACAACATCATCAGTTAAAAAAATTAAATAAAAAATCCAATAAAAAATTTAAAATAAAAATCACAAGAGTACAATTGCGCTGTTGTAATTCTCATTTTAAATTTTTTATTTGTTTTTTTATCTATTAATTTTCTTAACTGATGATGTTGTGAATGAATAGTGGAACGTCTCAGTATAAATGACCAAAATGTCTCAAATTGAAGTAAACTTCCTTTAACTTTCATTTTTAAATGTTGCACATAAAAAGTTATTGTATAGTTGAAAATTCGTATTTGAGCTCTATCTATTTATGTTTCATATAGTGTTGGCTTTTTTGTTTTATTTTTTGAAGATTTATGAATCTACAAGTGTGGATAAATAGAGTTTCATAAAAATATCAGTGATATTTTTCATTCAGTCAAAGTTGTTTTTGTGATTAGAAAACGTTTTATTTTTGTTTTTTTTTCAAATCATCTTGTCTTCATTAAAATGAAAAATGAAATAAAATATTTTTAAATAAAAAGTGTCTTTTATGGACAGAAAAAAGTTTCGCATTTCTTGTACATTTTGTACACTTTGCCACAAAAAAACAAGTGTACAGATACACGGCGTTCTAAAAAACACAGTGTACGCATACATTCCATTTCAGATTCTCATTAAAAACATTGCTGATATTTATTTGTTTACATTCATATTGTTACTTGCTAGTTTACAATCATATAGAAACTATTTGTTAGTTTATATATTCATAGTTTGTTGATATTTGTTGGATTACATTCATATCAATAACTATTTATTAGTTAACATTCATTACATTCATATTCAAACGATTTATTAATTTACATTCATTACTTTCATATTAAAACTATTTATTAGTTTACATTCATATTATATTGATATCTTTTGGTTAATATTCATATCGATAATTATTTGCTGGTTATATTCATTAATATTTAACAAAGGTAAAATTGAAGGAACTTCAGCTTTTTTTAAATTCTGCTAGTCTGTTTTAAGTGAGCTATGGCTCGATTATTCTTGACCTCGTTATCTAAATCGATGATTAGTATTATAAGAATTTCATTATCTTCATTATTATTGAAATTTTGTCGTTATAATTCCTCGAGTATCACATCAAGTTTTGATCATCATAAAAAACATGATGGTATGTTTTCTCTCTATTTAACTTTTAATCCTGAATCTGTATTGTGTTTCTTTTTCTTATTCTAGTTAAAACACATTTATTGTCATTGTTAATCGAATTGCGAGATAATGATATTCCTAAACTTGATAGTCGTATTAGATCTTTATTAAATGTTGCTAAACAAAGTGTTTCATTAAATAAGTTCAATTACGTCTTTCAAGAACATTGAAACATTATTACCGAATGATATTACTAAATTAAAATATGATATAGATCAATTGATTATTTCATTACAATATATTCCGGTACAAAATTTTGATTTGAATAAGATTGATCAGTTCTTACTTCTCAATGAAAAAATTGATCGACAATGTATCGATGCATCGATCATACATAATATCTTTCAAGATTTAGTTGATGTGATTGATGATCTTTGGATTGCAAAACGCTCTAAACTAAAATTTCAATCAACTATTGCCGATGTAAAATTATTGCTTGAACGTTTACAAGAAGAAAATATTGATTTAAAAGTATCGGTTTCACATCTCCACAAATAAGATACATTTCAAAAATATCAATCATGTGTTAGTGAACTAATGCGACACATTATTCGATCGATCAAGAAGGAGTTTCGAAGAAAACTTGAAATGGAATATATATCAGAAAATTTTGATCAAGCTACATTTGAAAGTTTACTTCATGATCCTCAACATGAAGAAATAAAAGAAAATCTCAACTTAGATGATAATCAAATAGATTTGATCTTGACAATATTTGACAAAATCTGTTCGAAATATGGCTTTCCAAATAAAACTATTTTGGCTCAGTATCTGTTGATTGTATCAATACGCAATCAACGAGAACATGATAGGATGGATTCTTATATAAAATTAAGTCCTGATGATCAACGTTCATTTGAAAAATACTGTGAAAAAAATTATTTTATTGACCATTACCAACGTAAAGATCATATTCTACTTGAAAGTTTATTTACATTGTATGTCATAGATGTAATTCAAAAATTAAAGAAGAACCAAGAAATGTGAGTGAAAATATTTACTCTTTGTCCTGCAAACTGCTTTTATTAATAAATTCTTGCTTTTTCTTTTCTTTAGTCCAACAGAACCAATAACTTGAAGATGATTTAACTAGTGGTTATGAAAAAAAACATTTTTTTTCTTGTCATATATTTTTTTCAATAAATGTTTTTCATTTGAAACATATCTGTTTTTTTTTTCGATTGAATTTCTCTGATTCAAAGATCTAATTTTCGCAACTAAATCAAAAACATGGGAATTATTTTATCCTTGATAATCTTTCTTTTCGACATATCATCTGAGCATAAAATGGTCAAAAAAACTGAGCTCTAAAGTTCGTTAACTCAAAACTTGGAGCTTACTTACGCAGTCACCTTTAAGAATAAAGTCCTGTCTAAATATTGCAATTTGTAGGAGTAAGGCCTTCCGAGTGAAATCCTAGATGGCGAGTTGTGTGTGTGTGCTGTTAGACAGATATGCTACTTGAGATGCTAGAGCAGGCCTCGCAGCGGTCCTGATTTCCTGATTTTTCGTAGTCGTCCTGATTCATCCTGATTTTGATACAAGATCCTGATTTCCTGATTTTTGGTGCTTTTCGAAACTAAATAATTTCTTTAGGAAATTTCGGTTTAGTCTCAGTGGATGCGTTTCAGAAGTTCTGTCTTGAATTGATGAAAATACTATTTTTTCAATGATCGCGTTGTTCATCTTGTTTGAAGAATAGATAAAGTTCTTTATGAACTGAAAAATGGCGGTGAATATATGAAAAAATTCATCTTTTTTTTTAACAAGATTCATACAAAATCTTGTATCATTATTCAGTAAGAAAAAAAAAGAAAAGACAGGCACAAGTTAGTTAGTTAGTAGATCTGGAAGTCGAGAGTCCGATGAATAATCAACTCTCTTCGTTGAATTGCCGTCGACGAATCTCACAAATGAACTTCTCAAGATGTCCCATTGCTTTTGACCTGATATTTTGGCTATATCTTGGGACCTATAGACTAGAATAACCTTAAGTTGACTCGCTTGCCAGACCATTTGGGCTTGATTTATCATGAATTCTGGACTTATGGCACTAGGTTATCTGGAACAGCAAATATGTGGATTTCGCCCTGAAATTTTGTCTATAAATAAATCTAATGGCCACGAGGATACCTTAAGAGGTTGAGACAAAACGAATGCATCCTTGAGATATTTAGTTTTCAAAAAAACCATCTATTTCTCAGAAAAAAATTCACAAAAATCGGAATATTTGGATATTCAACATCTTAAGAAGGATGCATTCGTTCTGTCTGAAACTTTTAAGGTATCTTAGTGGACATTAGATTTATTTATAGACAAAATTTCAGGTCGAAATGCGCATATTTGCTGTTGCAGATAATCTGGCCTCATAGGACTAAAATCCAATAAAGTGGTCATAACTCAGTCCTAAAGGCTCAGGCAAGCGAGCCAACTTAGGGTTATTCTAGTCTAGTCCAGAGAACTTCGTTGGGACATCATAACGATGTTCCAACAATGTCTGCTTGGAATTGACGATTTCTGTTGACATTCGACCTTCTAGAACGAAATAGATGTTGATTTTACGATTGCCTATCGACGAGCTGGAAATCATCACAATGTTTCAGCGTTTTTGTTTTGTTATTTCGCGCTTTGTTTAATTGTTTCACTAAGAGTTAAGCTAGCTATGTTACGTGATTGTTATGCTTTCGAAACACTGAGGCAATAGGAGAACGATTTTCTCTTAAAATTCTATGGGGTACCGATTTCCTGTGGGAAATGGTACGATTTCCCATTTTAAGGATATTGTCAACTGCTGGAATAGAGTAGAGAATGAGCGCCATTTGACATTTCGTAATTCCTATTGCGAAATGATGTGCACTTTCGATGAATGATGCCTATGTTTTGAGAATCCTGATTTATTCGATCAAATCCTGATTTATTCGATCAAATCCTGATTTATTCGATCAAATCCTGATTTATTCGATCAAATCCTGATTTATTCGATCAAATCCTGATTTTTTTCTTGAAAATTCCTGTCCTGATTCCTGATTTTACATACTAGACCGCTGCGACCCCTGTGCTAGAGACATCGCATGGGATGCTAGAAGCATCATGGGTGTAGGTAGAGTTTCTCTTTCACGTCGACACATCCACACCCTTTTTTTAAAATGTCAATTCATATTCGAGATTGATTTTTTCTCAAATGTTACCATAACGAAACATAGTCTATTTCAATTTTATTCAATTTTATAAGAAAAAAAGTCAATGAAACTATTCGATTTTTTTTGTTATCAAATCTTTCAATATGATTAAAACGATCTGTTTGAATTAAATTGAATAAAATGATAATGTGAGATAGATACATATAATAGATTTACTCGTAAAACATCCTAGAATTCTGTATTAGAAGATAATTAAATTTAATTCTAAATATGTCTATAATAGAGAGATTTTATTTCTTATATCTATATAGCCTTTAATATTTCTAATCTATTTTAATTAATTAAATAAACGAATATTAATCTCAATAAATCCATCATCTCAATGGTAAATTATTATTTATTAATTGTAAATATCTTTATTTCTATAATAGGATCTTTATATGAGAATAAACTTGATATTGAATTAATCAAATGACGAAAAAGATCTTTTATTGCAGGTTCGTTGTTATTTTATAAAAGAAAGAATCGTTAAATAAATCTTATCTATTATTATATATTCAATAGTTGATAAATGTTAATTGATTATTTAATTAGTGTTTTATTTTTATTCAATTTGTATGAGTACAGAAACTAGACCCTAAGTCCCAGTTTCTAATCGCTTTCGCGTTTTTTACAAGTAATTAGTGTAAATCAAGTTCGAGAAACAGTCGAGTCGATCAATAAACAGCTTGCATGAAGTAATCAATTAGTGTTGTGGCGCGAAGATCATTGGCTTTGATCATCGATGACACAGAATAGTGCTCAGGCAGAGTATCGAAACTCTAGAATCTGACTCAAGAGTCAGATGGCGATGCCACTCAGCCAACCTAGGCAAATGTTAATTGATTATGTTTAGATTAGTATAGATTTAAATTAATCTAGAGATTAAATAAGATATATATTAAATATATAAATAATGATATCGCAAAGAATGTATTGAATTTTTTTTTAATTATGAACAATTATCATTTTGTTTTTTTTATTAGAAAAATAGTTAGAAAATCTCTTGTTCTCCTTGTTTAACATAAAAGTATTGATGAAATAATTGTTAATTTTCAATGATTGCTTTTAGTTTCAAATATTTTCTAAGAGGCTCGCGCAACTATTGCTGTATAGAATCTGACTAGTTGTCATTGAAAATGATCAGATTAGTTCGTTATAGGAGTTCCTTCAATTGACTTTATAATTCTGAAAATGTATTTAATAACCTTATTGAAAACCGTGCACACACAAGAACGACCACCTGTCAATGTATTATATTTTCATATTATATGTTATATAAGAGGTGTTTCCTGCATTCTCATAGGTGATTAAACTTTTTAGTGTGAATGAATGTTGATTTAACACAGAATTAAGTTAATTCACTTCAGTAGTGTGTTTGACCCCTAAAAGAAGAATGATCTGTCAAATAGACCGACCATTCATAAATAATGAAAAAATGTTAGCTAGAAAGAAAAATGCCATCGGTCATTCATTATCATTATCTAATAATATGACATCAATATTTAACCTTCATTATATCCCCCAGACGTTTATGTGAAATGCACATATATATATCTATAGAAATTCACACGCATACAGTGTGAGTTAGAGATGAACATTTCGAATAACAATCGTTTAAATACACATGATTTGCCAAATGAAATTTTATTCATCATTGCCAACGAACTGAATATCGGTGATGTATATTCACTTATTGATATTGATGAAAGATTTGCTCAAATCGTACTTGATCCACTTTATATTCGTAATATTCATAATCTTGATATGACAACTGTAACGATGAAATCATTTTTCGATTATACTTTTTCAATGGATGATCAAGTTCTGTCAGAAATATGTGAAAAGATCTAACCTCAAATTCATTCACATGTAATTAAACTTACTATTGAACAAAATTCAATGGAACGTATTCTTACTGTTAGTTATCCTCAACTTTATTCGTTATCACTTGTTAATTTTCAAGAAAAATGACTTTTTCAATATTTAACAGGTATATTATTGAAAGAATTTATTTTATTTTTAATAAAATAAAGTAATCGAACAAATTAAATTTCATCTTTGTTTTTTTTTACATTAAAGATCATTCAATTCTTCATGATCTCCTTACTCATCAAATCACATATTTGAATATCGATATTCAAAATGAAACAACATCTCAATTATCTGAAATTGCATCAAATATATTTGCATTGATTTTATCTTTAACTAAACGATTAATCCATTTGAATTTTTGTCAATTGTTGTCTCATCGTAGAACGTGGATTTCTTTTTATTATCTACCAGAAATAAATTCTATGTCTTCAAGTTTAACTGAATTGAAAATTAATGCCGAAACTTTTGTTGATTGTTTTTATCTTCTTGATGGACGTCTTGATTCCTTATCGAAATTGATTATCAATGTGGGGAGAATTTTAATATCGACATAAACCATGATATATAAATGGTGGCTGGGTAAATATAATTTCAATAATTATATTTTCAATAAAAAGACATTCTTAATGTTTTTTTTAGAAAGACCTTCCTAAATTGAAATGCTTCTTATCGACTTTGAATATTTATGAACAGGAATATGACAATCAAATTATTACATTACTTCATCGAATGATAAATCTTGAAGAATTGATATTATTTCTGCTAAATATAAGAGTTGACAAGAATTATGCTGATGGTATTCAAATATATAATAATATTCTTATTCATATGCCACGATTAAAGAAATTTACTTTCAGTATAAATACAGCAGCTATTATGGAAAAGAAAAAAAATTCGTCTTTCATCTAATGAAGATATTGAAAATAGCTGTATTAGAAGAGGATATGGACAAGTTAATTCATATGTCTCTTCTCAACAAATGGGGAACATAGGCCATTGTCATGTCTATTTCACTTCCATATCAATTCAAACATTTTTTCGGTCTTAACAACTTTTTTCATTTTCAAGATGGTATATTTGATAAAGTTCGACGTCTAACAATGAATGATATTGCATGTACTTTTGAACATCAGTTTTTCAAACTCACGTCTCATTATTTTCCTTTTTTGTCAAAGAATTAACTATACAGGGTGGCCCATAAGTCAGATAACAAAGTATTTTTTTAAATTTCTTTCTTATACTTCGTTGTTTAGGTCTGATATTTATAGCATATATACTAGCTGATATAAGCTAAAGATACAGCATATAAACTGGCTTCCCACTCCGCCTCTTTTTCCTCTTTTTTTGGAAAAACCTAGGTTTTTAAGGGTAATAACCGATAATGTCGATCGATTTGCATGAATCAATATGCTTCGAACCAATAAGGTGAATAACAAGGTTGAAAGTTATCCTTCAGGACGCATTATAATAATTAAATATGCATTAATTCCAATCCAAAAGATTTTTTAGTAAGATTTTTTGGCATGAACTTTGATCGAATAAGTTAAAACCAATATTTATTGAGGTTGAAATTTGGAAATATTAAAATAAGTTGCGATAGAGTTATTTACGTTCAAATATAAAACTTTGAAAGTTAGATATTTGAGCTCATTGAAATAGTTTTTTTCTAACAGATGTGTGTAAAGCTTCAGCGAAGCATCAAGACAGCTTCCATTATGAACTTAAACATGGAGTTCGATAATTGAAACTCAAGATTTGGACTCCGAAACTGCTGAATATGCCGTCAAAGTGACTACATTTGCCTGGATGAGGAAATCGTTTACAAGATAGCCGGTTGTTACGAAAAAACAAAACCAGATTTTAGCTAATAAATCTCTAAAACTTTCTTCAGAGGCAGAGATCTTCGCAAAATGCTAGTTCACACTAAGTAGTGAGTTCGGCGCTTTAGATCGCCTCGAAGAAGAATTAGTGATAAGTTCTCACAAATTTTGGTAAAAACTCGCCGTGTCATGTAAGTTCAAGGACGTAAAGTTTCTCTGCCTTTAGTAAAATTTCTTGAAAAATCGTCAAAACTCGAACTTAGTATACTCAGGAATCAAAATTTTTTCAGGTACTTTTTTCTTGTATATCACTCAATTTCAATTGAATTTCGAATTATTTCAAATCTGTAGAATTGATCACATTTGGTATTGTTGTGCTTTCAGAGAGAACTTCTGCTGTCCAAGGTAGAAATTCTGGTCATCGTTTTGAGAAAGACATTTTGGAACTTTTGATTTAAGCCAAATTTATCCATTTTCTTGTCTTATCAATACGCACGTTCTACTGTTTCTTTTTTCGCTTTTTGTTAGGTCTTTCTACTCTCGTAATATTATAAACTGAACAGATTTTGGATATTGAGTGATTTTTTTAAATGTCTATTTCTTTGTCTACAAGCAGTAAGATAAAGTGATATCACAGTGAAGTACCTTTGAATCACATCCGTTTTTTTTTCTTTTTTTGTAGTTCTTTTTTTCTGAGCTGGATAGAAAAAGCATGATTGCAACAAATGTCAACAACTGAAAATCGCTTTCATCTTTCGGGTTTTTTTCAGTCTGTATTGAATTCAGATTAGCGATGCTGCAATCTATCAACCTTTGAGGCTCGCGAGAGTCTTTGTTCGCATTTTACAAGCTGAAAAAATGCGCCTCTTTTCTTCCTCTTTTTTTATTAAAAATCCTCTTTTCTCTGACAACGAAATTCCTCTTTTTTCCTCTTTTTCGACGAGCTGTCGGTGGGATGCCAGCATATAAATCATATCGGAGTCTCGTCACTTGGTCTAGCACGTACATATACAGAATAGCCTATCAAAATGGCAACATGTTTGAGCCCTAAGAAAACTTTTATTAAAGCAACAGAACAAGAAAAATACACGGAAAAAAATGCATCTTTGAAGGATTTCACCACGAAACGTTTCACAAATATTGCTCAATGTGTTTACCCTCTAAGTCTTTGCAAAGTTGTAGTCTTTCAGGTACTGATTGACAAGCCCTTCGACATAATTCTTCCGGTAAACTTTCCATTTCTGTAATGATAGCATCTTCAAGTTCTTGAAGATCTTTAGGTTTTGTCGCATACACGCGGTCTTTGATCACTCCCCATAAAAAATAATCGGTTGGTGTCAAATCTGGAGACCGTGCGGGCCACTCAATTGGTCCACGTCGACCAATCCACCGATCAGGAAATGTTTCATGCAGGAAGTATCGAACGGATTGAGCATAATGAGCTGGTGCTCCATCGTGCATGTAAAATATCTCTTCTAAATTCATTCGACTTTTAATAGCAGGAACAATTTCATCCCTTAGCTTTTCAAGATAACTCTCTGCGGTAACGGTATCACGAAAGAAGAAAGGTCCGATAATACCTCCAGACCAAATACCAGCCCATACAGTAACGCCTGGAGCATTCATTTCTTGGGTGATCACGATGTGAGGATTTTCCGTAGCGTAGTAAACGCAATTATGTCGATTGACATGCCCGTTCAACTTGAAAATAGATTCTTCTGTCCAAACAATTCGGTCAATTAACGAAGAATCGTCAGCGATCAAGTTCAGAAAAATGTCAGCAAATTCGCAGCGTCTATCAGGATCATCCTCGTTCAATGCATGTAGTAATCGAGGACGATAAGGTTTCAAACCCAGCTCCTTCATCATTCGTTGAAGACTGGTTCTTGAGAGATTCAGATCCGAAGAAGCTCTCCTTGATGATGTCGCAGGATTTTCTTGAAAAGCAGCACGAATGCGTTCTTTGTTCTCATCGGTACTAACTGATCTAGGCCGTCCAGATCTGGCTGCATCTTGGACACTTCCGGTTTCGCCGAATTTTCGTACAAGATTCAAAATGTGCTTGCGTGATGGAGGAACTCGGTCATACTGATACTGGAACTGACGAGCAACTTCAGCTGCATTCTGGTGTATAGCATACCACTTAACAATCTCAATTCTTTCGGATGATGACAAGAAAACTTTCGCTCATGATTAAAAAAATCTGAAGAAAACTAAGTTAGAACCGAACAACAACAGTTAGTATAGAGAACAAAACATAAATCAGCCGATAAAATAAATAACCACTTGCATTGTTATCTGACAGATGTCCCTACTAGTGCATATATGTGAACAGGTACTAACGGAGGAAATAGTAAGGTGCGTTACGAGAGGAAAAACTATAACTCTCAATCAGATTGCCATCTTTATGGGTTATTCTATATATGTACGTGCTAGACCAAGTGACAAGACTCCGATATGATTTATATGCTGTATCTTTAGCTTATGTCACCTACTATATATGCTATAAATATCAGACCTAAACAACGAAGTATAAGAAAGAAATAAAAAAAAATACTTTGTTACCTGACTTATGGGCCACCCTGTATATTTGACATCTTCAATATACTTTTGACTTGTCTAGTCTGATTAAAATTAGTCCGTTCTGTATTCAGAGCAGGTCGTTAAATTCATTGAAAATAATATAATTTAACTGTGAGAATAGCATTGATATTTGATTGATGTGTTACCTATATACAGAATACTTGAAGCATTCCTTACAAATATTTGAGACGAGAATTCATATTCCCGTCGACATCTAAACTAATGACATAATAGTGCTATATAGTGAGCAATAGGATAACGTCGAGTTTCCATTCATTAAAATAAGAATAATCCTATCCGAGATGTTTGTTTTCGCCAAAATTCAAGTGTTGTCTCCTAGAAAATGTCAATTTACGTCAAAATTATCGAAACTAAGATAAATCTATGAAAGGATAGGATGAAATCTCGTCTTTCACAAACGACATGATATTTTATTCAGTATCTAATTTTTTTGTGAAAATTGTTAATGATTTCTCTCATCACCTATTTGAAAATGATGCTTGTTATTCAGAAAAAGCAGTAGAACCTTCACGGTTTTTTTTCCTGTTTATGCTTTTATAAATGTATATTCCAGAACTTTCGGAGGAGATTCATTGTAGCCAACTGCTCTTTTTCATTTGAAAAAGTATATCAAGATGCAGGGCATGACCGAATTGCTTTGC